GGTCAATGTCTTTCAGGATGACCTTGATGGCCCCGTGCTCATGCAGCATGTGGTCCCTGGGTCAGGCAGAGCGGTGCGGAGGGTGTCAGGGGTGGTGGGAGAGCTGGCCCCCGTGAGACCACCTGTGTTTGTAGCTGCTATTGGGGTCGGATATCCAATGTTAGTGCAAACGCAAACCCTCCCTGTAAAAAAAGGTGGGCGCTGCCGGCGCTGATAGCAATTGCCATCCGCAGCATATGACATGCCAACCCCCTAAACAACGGCGCTTGTTGGTGCGGACACGTCCACCCAGGCCCTCCCGACGCCCACCTGCTGCCCTTGCTGATGTTGTGCTTGATCATTGCGGGGTACAAGACCTCCTCCTCCGCCAGGGCGTGCACCTACATGCAAAGCCGCCCAAAACATGAGGTAGGGAAGTGATGTCATCATGACATCTTAAAAAGCATCAGACAGGCGGCCAGGGATTGCTTTCAAGGACAGGCACAGCGAATAAGAGTGGCCTGGGACAGACCGCCCATCTGAGCTCGTTTGAGAGGGGCTTGAGAACGGGCGTCGGCGGCAAACCTGCCCAGACGTGTGTACTGCCGAGCTGAGGGGAAGGAAAGTACTGGGCAAGCAAATTTGGTTGCGCGGCCGGATGTCTTTGCGCCATGAACGCTCCGCAAGTGTCTTCAGGCATGCAGCATGCCTGGGTGAGACTCACCGTGAGGTCGTGCACGATCTGGTGCCTGATCTGCTCCCGCTGGTCATGCGTCATGCCTGAGCCCTGGAGCAGCTCCTGGTAGTGCCACAGCCTGGGATGGATTTGGATGTATGTGTGTGTGTGTGTGTATGCCACAGCTTATTCGTGTTTGTTCCTGCGTGTGGCTGGACATGTGTGCTGTACTTCGTTTGAGCAGTGCAGGAAGTGAGCGAGAGTGCAGAGCACTTTGTCAGCGGGGGGTGGGCTCAATTTTGGGCTTAAGCCAGGTCACATCAAGTGCAGCACGCGTCCAAAGCCACCCGCTAATGCTTCACAAGAACACTCGCTTGCATGACGACCACAGGCCAAGCGCATACTCCAGGCGTAGGTAAACATGCAAGTGGCGCTTGCAAGGTGGGCAGCATCCAATTGCCTGCGCAACTGCACGCGTCGCGGGCGCGACCACCCCGTCGCCTCCATCCGAAACGCCCTCCACACCGCAAACACTATCTCCACGGCCAGTCGGCCCAGTGGCCGGCCCCAGCCGGGTCGTCAAGTCTGTGCCTAAGGACGCCAAGGCATGCACATTTATTGGGCGCCCGCGTCGCGCCACTTCACGCCAGCCGCCCGTCGCCTTGCGAATCCCCCCCTGCCGCCCACCTCTGGTGATCCTGACCGATGGCTGCGACAATGCTGCGGCCGCTGGCCGAAGCACCATCCCTGTCGGCGGCCGCGCTCCGCCCGTCCGGCCCTGCGCGGCAGGCGCCGCCGCGCTGCGCGGCGGCACGCCTGAGGATATGCGGGCGGGCGGCCGCTGCGTCAGCCCTGGCGCTGGCCTGAAGGGATGGAGGCGTTCGGAAAGCGAGCATAATGACAAATGCGATTTGGAGCGGCAACGCGGTTGAATGAAGTTTGATTGTGTTGCTTGGGTATGCGAAATGGCGATTCAAGGTGTTGCGTGGAGGGCATGGCAGGTGTGTGAGGGGTTGAGTGACGTCACTCTGACTCGCGGCTACGGCCAGGGGCTTCACGAATGCCGCCGCCAACTGCTGTGCCACCAGGCCCCAGCGTGCGCAACTATCCAGCTGTGCAGTTGCAGAGCTGGGGCTTCAGTGCACCATTGCTAGGAGGAGAAGCGCGGCATTCATCCGATAACTTGCAGCCGTGTCTGCCGTCTGCGTTCGCTCGTTTCTTGGCCGAGTTGTGTCTCTTGCACCAGGCCAGCTCGCGCACGCCCGAGCCTTGAGGGGTAAACTTGCAATGTCAGGCCGGCACGGAAGGCCCACAAGCACCAGCAGCCCAGAAGATTTGGTAGCCCAAAGGTGTGGGTGATCTGCGGCGGGGCGTGCCTGCTGTCCTGGGGGCGCCGCGTTTGGGACGATCAGTAGGCTGGCTGGCTGGGCGGGCCCGAACCACAAGGTGCGCGCTGCCTGAGGAGCCCATCAGCAGCGCTGCGCCTGCATACTCCACAGCTTGAGGTGCAGGCACTTCCCCTATGCCGGCCACCCCGCGTCAGCCGCGACGCCCGAGCGCCGTCCCCGACGAACCACCTTTGGTGCTCGAAGTGTGACGCAGCGGTGGGTGACGCACCAACAGCAGTGACACACCAACAGCGTCTTTGATGGCGGCGTTGTGTATTACCAACGGCATTATCCTGAATTGGATTGTCCGAATTGATCAGACGCGGTCTGTGCAGCGCGTTCGTCGGCTGTCATCAGTGCGCAGCAGCAGACGGGTGAACCGCTGCTTTTTTTGGCCGACCAGGATATGTATTTGATGTAACAGAACCTGTGATTATCGTTCCTAGCAGTGGCAGGCCCCGTTATATTGCAGGCCGAGGGGCGGCACCACGCCGCGCACGCCGGACGGCTGCCCAACGGCGCTTGCGCCCGTCCGCCGATCCGATATGGGCTGCCCACGGGAAGATATGCGCCTCGCGCCGGCTGCTGTCGCTTTTGCGCTCCTCGCGATGGCAGCAGCTGCCGCGGCTGGCTCCGCCACACCACTCGGGGTAACCGGCACAGCCCAAGCAACAGCAGCTGGGAGCGACCATGGAGGTTGGGTACCCCTGCAGCTGGTTCCCGGTGTGCGGTCGCGCGTCTTGGGGCCGGCGCACTCGGCGCGGGGCCGCGAGCTCAGTGAGGTGGCGTACGTGCTCGACGGCGGCGTGAAGGTGCGTTGAAACCGCGCTCGCTCGCCCTTGCTCTGCCCAGGACGCGCCCCCATCCAGCAGCGCACCCTTCCGTCAGGCATCGCACAGGGGCACGCCCGCAATTTTCATCACGGTCCCATGTGGGGGCGCGTGCCTGCCTTTGCCCAAGACCACTGTTGCCGCAGAACATGGTGGCGGGCCCATGCCTCCTCACTGCCCCCAACACCACGACAGGTCGGATACTACTCGGCGCCCATGCAGCTGGGGTCCCCCCCAAAGACGTTCACCCTCATCCTTGACACCGGCAGCAGCGTCACGGTCGTACCCTGCAAGTCCTGCAAATGCGGCTGGCACCAGGCGCGCACCTGACGCATTTGGTCTGCATGCGAGCGGGGTGCGGAAGCGGCGCTGCGCCAAGGCTGTTTGGGCCCCGCGGATTGGAGGCATCCCCGCCATAGGCGCGAGTGCAGCCACCGTGCTTCAGCACGCGTCACCCGGCGCGTCGCCTGCCGCGCCCATGACGTTTGACCGCAGGGCCCCACGTTTGACCCGGACGCGTCAGTCGGCGCGCGGCCCGTCACATGCGACGAGGGGTTCTGCCCCAAAGCAAAGTCGACCTGCGGCGACAGCCCTTCCACTGCAGCCTGCGAGGTTGGTCGCGTCGCCGCCCTCATACCGTGCCGCTCTGCAGGGCGATGCGGCGCAATAGGCTGCGTGCTCCGTGACGCCCACCACTCCCGCCGCAAGCGCTTGGCGCGCGTCTCGCCGGATGCCAGCTTTTGCCCCTCCCTTCTCATGCATACGCGAATAGCACGTCACCAATAGCACTGCATTGCTGAGCGGCGCCCGCCTCCTGCCTCCGCCGCCCGCCACCAGTTTGGCAACAGCTATGCCGACGGCGACCAGAACGGCGGCCCCTTCCTGCGCGACGCGCTGCTGCTGGCGCGGCCGGGGGCGGCCCCCGAGGTCCTGAAAGACTTTGTTTTTGGATGCGCCAAGTACCTATCGGTGGGCAGGGCAAAACTCTCACACTGACAACGCCGGATCTTTGTGTGTCGCAAGTGCTGGGAGCACACCGCTTGACAGCTGCGCAGGAGGGCGCATGTACGGGGCTGTGCAGCTTGGCGGCAACCATCCTGTCAACCCCCCTGCGGCGGCGCCTGCGCCTGCGCCTTTGCTGCCCCCTTCTTGGAGCTCATGCAAACGCCATGTGCATCTCTGCCAACCAAAGACAACTTTGTTTTCCAACCCACCGCAGGGGCCGCTGGTGCACCAATACGCAGACGGCCTCGTGGGCCTCTCAATGGGGCCCGGCGCCCTGCCCCCCCAGCTCGCCGCCGCCGGCGTCGGCGGCCGCGGGTCGGCCCCGGGCACCTTCACGCTGTGCCTCAGCCGCGCAGGCGGCGCGATGGCGCTGGGCAAGCCCGCGCGGCCACCGGGGGCGGCGTCCATGCAGTATGTACCGCTGCTGCCGAGCCCCAAGGGCTTCTATTTGGTCCCCCTGGATTCGATCATTGTAGCCGGCAAGCCGCTCGCCATCGCCGGGGTGAGGCGCGCGCCGGCAGACGTCGGCTGACCCCGCGTTGGGCTGCTTTGTTCGCGTTGCCGCATGGGGCGCGGTGTCCACTGAGGATTGGTTGGGGAGGCAGGCGTGGGGGTGTGAGGGGGCAGCTCGCCACCACCCGGGCCGTGCGCCTCTCCCATAGCCTTGCGTTGACCGCCCGCACCCTGCCTCGCGGCCCGCGACCACGGCAACCGACACGACGGCATGCCGCCCCTCAACCCTTGCTTGAAGTATCCCGCGCCATGCTCACCTCAGTTGAAGGCATCAAACGCCGGGCGCCAAACCACGCCCCTGCTTCCCGCACCCCGCGCCCCCGCAGGACCCCCCCAAGTCTCTCCTCCTGGACAGCGGCTCCACCTTCACCTACCTACCCACCCTCGCGTACAAGGCCCTCGTCTCCGCACTCAACGCCGCCCTCGCGCCCCTGCAGCCGACGACGGACGTGCGGCTGCCCCGCAGGTCCCTGCGCCAGGTGTCCGCGGGCACAGAGACAGCGATCCTGGATTATGGCGGCATAGAGACCGAGCAGGACACCGGTGACATCACCGGCAGGGAGGGGCCGGGGCCGGCGGCGGGGAGTGTGTTTGTGGATCAAGACCCCGGGGATGCCTCGGACTCTGAGATGTGCTGGACGCTCACGGGGCCGGGGACAGCCCAGATCATGTGGGTGGCTGGGTGGCTGAGTGGGGGGCACACTCGCAGTATGTGCATGTGTGTGGGTTCTAGGGGGGCGGGGCATGTAGCATGTTGCACAGTGCGTGATGAGGGTGGAGGTGCGAGGTGCACCCACGTGCACGCGTGCGTGCGTGACGCGCAGTGCGGCGCGCCCTTGGCCGAGCGCGTGCCGAGACCACCGTGCGCCTGCGCCTGCGTGCGGCACGGGCCCCATGCCGGCGCCCCTGCACCCACCCAAACCGCACCCAGGACTGAGTACGACCTCGAAGGCGTGTTTCCGAACCTCGAGCTCACTCTCACCGGCGGCGTGACCCTCAAGCTCCCGCCCTACCGCTACGCCCACGTCGTCGCGAAGACCAAGGGCAACGCCAGCGTCAAGCCGCGCGCCTCTGTCTGCCTCGGCGTGTTTGATGGAAACACGGCCGCCATCTTTGGGGCGTGAGTGGCCGCGCGGCGCGCGCCGCGGGCCCACGTGCCTTGGCTGCGGCCGCGGGTGCCTGTGTCAGTCGTGGTGCCCTTGCGGCCTTGAGGCAGGCCGGCGACCTGGGCGGGCGTGGGGCGCATGTCGCCTGCACACGCAGCGGGTCCTCTCCTGCCTGCTGCGCCCTGGCCGCCCCCGCCCGTCTTGCCTCGCCGCACACCCCGTCACGCCCTCCCCTCCCCTGGTCCATCCATCGCAAACCCCCGCCCAAAAGGATCATGATGCGCGACACGCTCTTGGAGTTTGACTGGGCCGGGCCGGCCACCAAGCGCGTGGGCTTTGCCCAGGCCGACTGCGGATGGCTCGCGAACGACTTCTCACGCGGCTCGTGACGTGGCCCGGCGGGCCGGCGCTGTTATGGACGCAATCACGAGCGCGCCGCAGCGCGCCATGCGGCGGCCCTGCCGCCGCGTCCCGCTGATGGCGATGAGGCCGAGGCGCCTTGCTTGGAAGGGTGGCGGCGCCGGAACCGGCGGGGTGGCGGTGCCGGGGCGCGTCAGGGCGTGGGGTTGACATGTTAAGCGACAGGATCCCTTGGAATGGGGCCGTCCCCAGACCCTGCCGAATGAGGTAGCCAGACAGCCACATTCTTTCAATCAGGCGTGCTACACAACGGCCCTTTTGTAGGTGCGTGTGCCTAGGCCTTGACCGCCATTTGTGCATTTTAGGCGTGAAGGTATTTCCTTCCATCAGGCTTTGGGGGTTTTGGGGACGGCAGCGTGCGCAGCAACGCCAGGTGCATGGCGCTGCTCGACTGCCCTCACAGTCGATCAGCATGCAACAGGACCAGTGCGCCAGCACACTGCATTTCGCTGAGTGCGGGCCCAATTTTTTTGCATGGGGCCAGGTATAGCTCAGCCGTGATAACGCAGCTCGCCCATGCACGGGCTTATTGCCGGCCGTCTTGCGATGCACGAGTGAGCACTGCCGCCGGCGCCACTTACCATCTGCCAACCGTCAAGTACAGCTGCATAAAAGCGCCCGCACGGCAAGGACGCGCACACCGGTACGCTCCCCATTGGGGACGGTCACATTGTCACAGTACTGGATGGATGGGCTTCCTCTGCGCGCCATCTGATGGGCGCGAACGCACGTACATAATTCAAATGCGGTCGGCGCGATCGCCAGGCCGCCCCTCAACCCAATTGGTCCACAGGCTGCACTGGAAAGGGGATGGGCCCCGCCATTATTGACCCAACCTTTGATATAGTGCATGATGATGCTGCAGTCATGGCATGCCCATGTCCATATGCATCCTCATACACTTGTGTTGAACACTCGCATTCAGACGCATGCGTGCGCATTGTACGACTTTGACCAGGAATGGCAGGCATGCCACCTGGCAAGAGCGCCAGGCTTGATCAGCCTTGTAACCAACAGCGACCTTGCGCCTTCTTGGGCCGTTTCCTCCCTTGCTGTGATGGCAGCCAGGCGGCGGACCGCGTCTTTGGGCACACCCCCTTGCCGCACTCGCCTGCCACAGCCGCTGCTGCGCAGCTGCTGGACCTACCCCACAAACGGCAGTCCCCAGCCGGGCGCACGCACGCGACATCATGCGGGATCATACCTCATCAAAGCAACACGTTTGTCTTTGCCCTGTGCACCGGGAAGCGGCGCGCTTGCGCGATGCGCACGCTGACACACCCGACACTCCGCTGGCAGTGCCATTGGATGGCATAAGGGATTGGACTGGGCGGCGCTGAAGGCGGTGTAGTGGCCATGCAGCGGTGATTTTGGTTCTGAGATACGACTCGAAATCATCGCGTTCACCACGGCACCGAGATGCCGTAGGTTTTCGCGAGGAACCCCCGGCAAATCACTCACCAGAATACCTTGGAACCACCTCTGGAGTAACAGCCTGCACACGCATCTACAAGCGAATTAGAGCTTATTGAACACTCGAAGCAGAGTTGCCTTGCTGGCTGCGGTGCGGCAGTGGCAGGGAAGCAGCGCTCTATCGGTAGTGCGCGCCCGCCGCTTTTGTGGTGACACCGCGCACAAAGCAGCAACAGCGCCGCAGCTCCAGCCAGACGCCTCATGCGGCGTTCTTTTGTATTCACAGCGATCGCGGCGGGCCTGGTGCTGCTGTCACTAGCCAGCGCCGCGGCCGCTCCAGCTCCCTCAGCCGGCGCGGCCGTCACATGGGCCCCAGCCGGGGCCACCCCTTCCCCGCAAGAGGGCACCCTGGCTGCGGCCGGCGACGCCGGCACGGCATCAACGCCCCTGGAGGATGCGGATGGCCAGTGGATACCCCTGAATCTGGTCCCGCAAATCAGATCAGGCGTCCTGGGCGCTCGGCACTCGGCGCAGAAGCGGAGGCTGCGCGAGAGCGCTTATGTGCTGGATGGAGGCACCAAGGCGCGTCGCTGCACGCCGCGGCCGCGGCGGGGCCGCCGCATGCGGGATACGGGGTCTGCTCAGCAGCAGTGTGCCGCCGCGGCTTTCGAGCTCACCCTTATCAGCGCTGAAAACATTGCTGCACGACAACACCACGGACCAACTACAACACAACACAACACAACACAACACAACACAGCACAACACAACACAACACAACACACACAACATCACGACAGGTTGGCTACTATACGGCCCCCCTGCAGCTGGGGTCCCCCCCTAAGACCTTCACCCTCATCCTCGACACTGGAAGCAGCGTCACAGTTGTGCCCTGCAAGCCCTGCAAATGCGGCTGGCAGCAGGTGCGTGTGCTCGCGCGCCGAGTGCGCTGCGGCGTTTTCGCGCCAGGAAAACCTCGATACAGCGGTCGCCTGCGGCCGCACCGGGCCACTGGCAACGCGGCGAACCCCCCTCGCAAAACCGCCACAGGGGCCGCAATTTGATCTGGAGGCATCCCCTGACGCGGTCGTTCTCAAATGCAGCGACACGTCGTTCTGCCCCAAAGAAAAGTCACTCTGCGCCGGCGCACCCCCGTCCAGCACCTGCGAGGTGGGCGCTCGAGGGGGCGCTGGCACACGGGGCGCGCAGCTGCAGCACCCTTACCGCCCCCGAGAGCTGATGAAACCCTGCAGGATTGGGCGCAGCTGGCGTGCAACGCCCTGCTTCTCTGGCCGCTCCCCCTGCCAGCCACGGCCCTGACGCTCTCAGCCCCCATCCCTCCCTCCCCCCCTCCTCAACAGTTCGCCAACCGCTATGCTGACGGGACCCAGAACGGCGGCATGTTTGTGAGGGACACGCTGTTCCTGCCGCGCCCGGGGCAGTCCCCGGAACTGCTCAAGAACTTTGTCTTTGGCTGCGCCAAATACGTCTCGGTAAGCAGGCCCCCCTTGCGTCCGGGCTCTCAGCCTGCGGGGCCGCTGCGGGGGCGCGCGGCACCTCTTCACTGCAGGCCCGCGTGGCGCCGCAGCCCTGCAATCACACTTTTATACATTTGAAATTTGTCTACCGTGCCCACACCCCGATTGCATCTCGCCGGCCCTGCGGCGCCCACGAACGCGATCTTGGGTTTCGTTTGACCGATGTTGACCGCCTGGATGACGTCACAACGCCCACCCGCCGCAGGGGCTGCTGTACAAGCAGTACGCGGACGGCCTGATGGGCCTGTCTATGGGCCCCAGCGCCCTGCCCCCCCAGCTCGCCGCCGCCGGCATCGGCGGCCGCGGGTCGGCCCCTGGCACCTTCACGCTGTGCCTCAGCCGCGCGGGCGGCGCGATGGCGCTGGGCAAGCCCGCGCGGCCCGCTGGGGCGGCGCCGCTGCAGTATGTGTTCCTGCAGCCGAGCCCCCGGGGCTTCTATCTGGTCGGGGTGCAGGGCTTCACGGTCAACGGCGCCCCCCTGACGCTCACAACGGTGGGCCGCCGAGCGACTGGCCCCGCTCGGGGCGCGGAGTGGCAATTGGGACGGCGCGGCTGCATGGCTGCTTGTCGAGGCGCCCGCTGATGAGTCACACGTGCTCTGCCGAATGCGCTGCCAAAAACGCGCTCCCACCTCCGGCCCTGCTCCTCTGCAAACCCCCTCCTGCTGACCCCCTCGCCTCCACCTGCCCAGCCCTCAAGCCCGCTCCCCTCCCCCTCCCCGCACCCTCTCCCTCCTCCCCTGCAGCCGGCCTCCCAGACCATCCTCATCGACAGCGGCTCCACCTTCTCATACCTAACGTTCAACACCTATCAGCAGCTCATATCCCAGCTCGACGCCGCCCTCGCGCCCCTGAAGCCGCCGCCCGGGCAGCTTCCCCGCAGGTCCCTGCACCAGGTGTCACAGCGGACGGCGTCGCTGGTGCTGGACTATGGCGGCATTGTGGAGGATGACGGCGGCAACGTCGCAGTGGGCAAGGAAGGGGCGGCGCCGCCCGCGGGGAGCGTTTTCGTATCCAAGGTTCCGCTGCCCAAGGGCAACGACGACGTGTGCTGGGACCTTACGGGGCCGGGGGCGACGCAAATAAGGTGTGTGTGTGATGGGGGCAGGCGACGCGCAGCAGGCGCACTGGGCAGCGCTGGGAGGGGAGGGTGAGCAGTGTGTGCGCAGGGGCGGCGCGCTCAAGTGTGTAGGTGTGCGGGTGTGCTTGCTTGTGTGGACACGTGAGGCATGCCACCGTGCATCAGAAAGCATACAAAGCAGAAGTTGAAATGTTTGTGTGCCCGCTTCCCGCACGCTGCATCACTGCCCCTCTCCAAACCCACTGAAACCGCACTCAGGACGGAGTACGACCTGGGAGGCGTGTTCCCCGACCTGGAGCTCACGTTCGCCGGCGGCGTGCCCTTCAAACTTCCGCCCTACCGCTACGTCTTCGTGGCCTCCAAGACCAAGGGCAACGCCAACGCCAAGCCGCGCGTCACCGTGTGCCTCGGCGTGTTCGACGGGAACGACCTGGCCATCCTCGGGGCGTGAGTGGCCGGGGGTCGATCCCTAACCAGCCCTCGCGACATTTTCCCGGCGACCGTGAGGGGTGCTGCGAGTCGCGGCGCCGCGGGCGCCCGCAAACGCTGGACCGGTGCAGGAGCGGCGACCGTTTGCCCTGGTTGAGCTCTGAGCGCCGCCGCTGGAGCTTCGGCCTGCACTGCCACCCCCTGGTGCTCCGCCTCACATCTCTTTGGGCCTCCCATTCGCTCTGGCCGCACCCCGCACCCCCATCCCAGGATCATGATGCGCGACACGCTGTTTGAGTTCGACTGGGCCGGGCCCCTCACCAAGCGCGTGGGCTTCACCCAGGCCGACTGCGGGTACCTCGCAAGCGACATATCACGCGGCTCGTGATGCGGCCGGGCGGGCGGCCGCCGTTGAGGACACAGCCACGGGCGCGCTCGCAGCAGAGGGCGGCGCGCGGTGGCGGGCCCGCGGGCTTGGCCGGTGGCACCGCTGCTGCGGCTGCCGGCTGCGCCGGCAGTGGCGCAGCCGCACTTCCGCGGCGGCGCATGCAGCACGGCCGAGGCGGATTTCCGAGCGCGCGGTGCGCCATGGCTCCCCTTCTGTGGCAGGCTGATGTGCTGGCTTGCGTGCACGGTGCTTGCTGTGCGCCCAGCTCTTGTGGGTGTTGATGAGCTCATGCGCAGCCTCCTGGACGTGTGCTTGGTGACACGCGCATAAGCGGCGGGCTTTGCAGGGAGGCCTTCGTACATCGCTCACGCACTGCAGCTTGGCCCCCAGCAGTTGGGCGCCAGGGCGTCGCTCGCCCCAGCCAGGAGGTATAAATTCACACCCACAGCAGCGTGGCAATGGTATTCTGCAACAGTGCTTGCACGCGCACAGGATTCGACATCGCATTTGTATCAGGCTAGATGATGCATCGGGCCCCGGTCAGGGGTGGTTGTTGGGTGAGCCGCCCCTCCGTCGGCTTGGGTCGCAGCGAGCGGCCGGTGCTGCCCTGCATCACCAGTGCTGCTGCCTGTTTTTTCATCCAAGCGGTTGGAGCTGCACCCCCCAAACCTGTACAGGGCACGTGTTCCCGCCACTATTGACACATCCACAACAGTCGGCATGCACATACGCGGCGCCGCCACTAGGTTACGCCCAGAACTGCTCAACCACCAGGCATCCCCTTCTGGGCGGCATATTTTTTTGCACCCAGCCCCAGCCATGCCAGGCATCAGGCACTGACGGACGCCCCTCGCGCGCCGAGCCTGCGCCTTTGCTTTCGCCTTGCCAGCGATCCTCCTTGAGCACACGCATGCGAGGATTTACTCCATGCGCGTCTCTTGATTGGTATGTTTTTCGTGCGCTTTGAATGGTTGCCACGTTACCAAGGCGCCGCATGCAAAGGCGGGTGTAAATTCTGCAGCTTCCAAGCGAGAAGACATTCACAGGCGCGGGTGGCAGGGGTGAACCAGCCCAGAGCAGCTGCCATTCCACCTGCTCCTGCCGTTGCGGTGGCACCAGCTATATGAGTCATCAGGAGGCCGCTGGCGTAACCGCCCTGGTCACCGCACTTGGGCCACTTCGCATACTGGAGCTGCTGATGGATGCAGGCGCGTTGGTAATGGGATGCCAGGCTTTGTGGACGGCTGACAGTCGACGCCTGCAACTGCCCCTCACCGGTACGAGCCTGAAAGAGTACGACGCACGTAGGTGTCGTAGCAATACTGAGGCACTGCAAGGCTCGCCAGGGTTCCGTTTGGGCCTGCACACATGTGTCCGAGCTGGGCCACTTGATGGGCTTGTCACTGCCCAGGGCCCTCATCTGTCTCGCAGATCCGCTGCGGCACCAGGAGGCTTCATTACAGGGCACCACAGCTGGACACCCCTGCAAGAGGCGCGTAATTGTACGCTGAGTTTGTGCTCTCATGTATCACTTCTAGTCACCCAGCATTGTTCAGTTTGGCTTCGGTTCACTTTCGACCTCGCGCGGGTGACCCGCAGCGCTCACCTCCGCTCTGTCACCATCACAGCGTTTGAGTTTTTTAGTGCAACTGGGACAACCCGGGTCAGCGAACAAGGTTGTTGGGACTGTGATACTAGTTCTTCAAGCTAGGCAGGCTTCTGCTCGCAGTTTTGGGCGCCTCAACGCACTGAGGCGCAATGGTTTGGTGTCTTCGAAGACTTTTGGTGGCGGCAGCGGCACTGATGCTCGCATCTGGGGCACTGGCAAAGCAGCAGGCAGCAGCCCCCCCAAAGAGCGGTGTGAGCGGTGCGTCGGCAGTCAACGCAATTGCAGACGCAGCTTACCTCGCATGCCGCATGTTCTTGCGCGGCATCATCAGAGTGTGGGAGCCGGGATCAGCGGCATCCGTGCCAAACACCCCTTGCCCAGCGTCTGGTGAACAGGCCTGGCTAGAGAAAGCGCGCATGCACACACACGCAAGTACGCACAATCGCTCGAGCACACGCTCACGATCATCCACATGCACACGCGCACCGACCCGCGCAGCCGTCCCAATCGTCCAAACAATCTCTGATGCTGGCAACGAGTGGCTGTTCCAGCGCGTGAAGGGTGAGCAGGCCTGGCGGCGTGGCAGTCACTGCGACACCGGCGGCAGCTTGTGGCGGCTCGGCTTGCCTCCAGCTGCCAAGACCCAGCCAGATGCACCGTCCCCTGCCAAGCCGCATATGGCCCCGGAGCGTGGGCAGCGGCCCACTCAGCCCCCGCAGTGATGGGCAAGTGGCGGGGGGGCCATCACACGCGCCCCACCACCTGAAACTGGCCGCCTGTGGCACTCGCCCCGCGCGCCCTACGGCCCACCGCGCCTCACCCGACGGCCCCCCGCCCCTCGCACCCGCGCCCTCGCCCGCGCGCAGCCTACCTGGCCCCGGATGCGCCTGAGCTGAAGCTGCTGGCGGCCGACAGCGCGTACACGCCCATCAAGGTGTCCGAAAAGACCCTGGTGGCTGTCCCCCAGTCGTACCTGGGCCTCAGCCTCGACCTCAACGATATTGAGGGCGTCGCGCACCCCGACTTCATCGGGTTCATCAGGCACCTCACGCAATACGACACCGGCACCATGGTGAGAGGTGCCCAGATGGGTCGTGCGTCTGACGTTGTTCGTGGCTGTTGATTGTGTGTGTGTGTGTGTGTGTGTGTGTGTGTGTGAGTTTTTTTTGCTGAGAGGCCGTGTGCTTAGAACTGAACTGGGAGGCGTGGGACAGAAGGGCCGCAACGATTCTAAAAACAGGCAGGTCTCAGCCGCCGGCCAGGGTTGGTCTCTGGCAAACTCCGCCGCCGCGCCCATAGGAGGCCCGCTCTCCCGCCCAAACGCATTCTGAGTGCACGCCACCGGCTTCCCCCCTGCAGCTGATGCGCATCGGCGCGTACAGCGCGGACCGCCTGGTCAAGCCGTGGCCGTCGTCTGTCTTCAAGGCGCTTACGACGCTCAACAAGGCGACAGGGGTGCAGTACATCATAGGTGACCCGCGGCAGCACCGCTGCACCGCCGCACGGCCGCACCTCCCCACCCCGCAGTCATCGTGCTGCACGGCGACTCATCCTGTTTGCGCGCCGCCGAACCTGCGTTACCATATTGCCATCCCGCCCGCCCGCCCGCCCGCCCGCCCGCCCGCCGCGCAGCCGCGCGGCTTAGCCCCCATCACGCCCGCCTGGCTTGGCCCGCGGCAGCCCCAACCCACCGACCCAGGCGCCCGTTGCCTTTGCCCCTCAATACAGTTCGCACACACGACAGAACACCTTGGTTCCAGCAAACCAAACTCCCCCTCATCCTTCGTTGGCAGGTGTCAACCAGCACGCCGAGGACGCGGCTGTGACGCAAGAGCAGGTGCAGCGCACCGCCAAGCTGCTGCCGGCCGGGTCAGTTGTCAGCTTCGCGGTCGGCAACGAGCCTGACATGGTGGGTCGGCGGCGGGATGCCGGGGAGGACCGCACAAAACATGGTCAAGGAACGGAAGCGGGCATGTGCCCGGAGGGTGGACGAGGGAGGGAGGAGGGACGAGGGAGGGAGGAGGAACGACCCCATGACTGTGGGGTGTGCAGACAGCTTCGTGAGGCCGGGGCGGGCTGGGGGTTGGAGGCAGCCTCGCGTCGAGTCCTTGAGCACGGCGCGCTGCAGGTGCGCCGCAGAGCCGGCCCCCCACTCCCCAGAGGCGCGGCCACATCTCCTTGGCGTGTTTGCACTCACCCTGACTCCCCCCCGCGGGACTCGGCCCCGCGCAGTACTCTCTGGCCCCGAAGAAGGGCCTGCCCGGCTCACTCATGCTCAAACCAAGGGAGTGGCTCAAGTGAGGGGCGCTTAGGGTTTTGGGAAGGGCGCGTTGTTGAGGGCTCGTAAACAGGCCGCCCGCGCCGCCGCCCGTGTGCTTGCGCCGGGGGGTCGTGCCGGTGCGAGCCCGGGCACGCACACAGGCGGTTGGGCCCGGCCGCCCGCGGGACGACCCAGGAGTGCGACCGAGGCGCTGGCAGCGCCCAGCAAGCCCTCCCTGGCGGCGGGCATGCAAGCGCCTACCCTGTCTGTACTCTTCACTCTCCTCGCATGCACCTGATTCAGCTGTGGTGTTGCCCTCATCCCCTGGCACCCCCATTTGCAGCACAGACTGGGTCAATGTCGCGCGCACCCTGTTCAAGGCGGCCGCGGCGGGAGCCCCCCGGCCGCGCATGCTGGCAGGCCCCGACTGGAGCGACCCCAACATCAGCAAGGACAAGCTGCAGTGGTGGGGGGGGGCGGCACGACCTGGGGAGCGGTGTTCAGGGGTCCTGTTTGCTGACGTCAGATCAGGTTGCGTGCGTTGGGCGTCAGGAACCAGAGGCACTGGGCACCACACCCCGCCCATGATGACCTCACAGCATCGCTGGCCATGCTCCCCTGCTTCAGGTGGATTTCTGTGTGTGAAGCTGACTCTGAGACTCCCCGGCTTGCCACATACCAAGGGCCTGCTCGGCCAACTACGCCATTCTTGACAATACGGGATCCCTCAATGCGCAACCCTTGCGGCTCCAGTCCAGCCTCACCCCCAGCCACGCACCGTGTCCACATAGTGCACCACCCCTTCCTATCTCTGATTCAGCGCCCTCCCCCTTCCACCCGCTGGGCCCCTCAAACAGGTGGCTGAACTCAGTCCACGCGTACCTGAACATGGTGACGGTGCACCTCTACGGTGGGCGGAGGGAGAATGCATGAGTTGTGCGCATGCGTGTGCACATGTTTGTGTTTGTTGTGTACGCAGACACACACATACACAAATGCAAGTGCGTGTGTTTGTGTATGTGTGTGTTTGTGTGTGTCTGTGCGTGCAAATGCTTGCGTATGAGCGTGTGGGTATGTACGCGCAAGTTCGTGTCTGTTTTGATGTGCTTGTCAGGTGCCCGTCAAGTGTAGGGGTCCGCTAACACTGCTAGCTCTGAGAGCAGTGTTTGGGGCCCACGCCTCCTCTCCCCCCATGCACACTCAGGTGGTGACGTCATCAACGACAAGCACATCAAGACGATCCTGGCCGACAAGCGCATGGTGCGGGGGGCCGCCATGCGTCAAGCCTCCTGCGTCACACGCACGCCCTTCCCTGGCGCGGTGCTTGCGACCCTTGATGATCTACACTTGACTGCTTTGACCAGTAACGGCCCAACTTTCACCATTTGCACAATATCAACCCCCCACCACAGCTCCAGAAGCTGAAGAACATCAGGACACTGGTCCAGGTGGCCAAGAGCAACGACCCACCCCTGCCCGTCCGCATCAGCGAGGCCGCCACCATCAGCTACGGCGGCGTGCAGGGCATATCAGACACGGCAGGGGCGGCGCTGTGGGCGCTGGACGCGAGTATGGAGGTGGCCTTCCAGGGCGGGGCCGGCATACACTTCCACCGTGAGGGGTGATGTGATGTCGCCACTGGGTCGGGCTGCGTCAGACCCGGTGGATTATCAGGGGTTGGATTGGGGACAAGGAAGCCTGCCGGCGGGGGCCTGCAAGTGGACCTGGAAATATCAATGGGACATGTGCGCGCGGGAAGGGGCTGCTGTGAAAGATTGACATGCGGCCTACCAGACAACTCTGCATGCTGCTCCCTATGCCGCGTGTGTTGCCCGACCCCGGTCTTTCTGGCCGGCCGACAACCCCGCAACCTCCTCCCGTTCTCCCCTCCTCCCCCTCTCACACATACAACACCGCCACGACGCCATCAGAGGTGCTCAACCGGGAGAACAACGCAAACTACAACGCGGTGAGGGCGCAGCAGATGAGGGGAGGGTAAGCGCATGCCATGCAACCAGGGCCAGTGCCGGGTCGCCCCACCCGCGCCACGAGCTGTCGAGAGCAGGGCTGCTGCCTGCACTCCGGCCCAGCCGACGGCGGTGCAACATCGCAGAGCCTGGGCGAGGGGCAGCACGCCTCGGCCCAGTCAACGCCAAAGGGCGCAGTGACTTGCGCAGGCTCTGCAATGCTGCACTGGGCTCTCCCCGTCTTGACAGGCAGTGGCCCGGCGGGGAGTTGCACAGCATCCTGCAACACATTCCCTGGTGAAAGCAGTGATGGTCGCCGGCGCAGCTGCTTTCTCTGGAGCCTCGTTTGCGCTGCCCCTCTGGCACAGGAGAGCCTCTCTTCAACCAGACGTTGGAACCAGCCCCCCGTCCGTGCGGCCAATCCCCCGCTCACGCCCAGATCTACTACAGCGCCGTCACCAACCGCGTGCGGGCCCGCCAGCCGCTGTGGGGCTACGTGATGCTGCAGCAGGCGCTGGCAGGGGGCGCTGACATCATCGGGCGCGCCATCACCGGGGAGTGCAAGGTGCAGGGCCCCGGCGGCAGCCTGAGCGCTTGGGAGGGAACGCGGCCTTTTGGGGGGGGGGCGATGTGCGTGAATGGAAATTTTGTCGGTGGCTGGGGCACTCTCCGAGGCGATGTCGGAAAGCAGAGCCGCAATGTCCAAGCGGGACGACACCCCTGTCGCCAGCATTGGTGCCTGCCTGCCCGTCTCCTTTTCTTGAGGATGCAGTCCCCCATCCCGAGCCCGATGCCCCTCGCCGAGAAAATCTGGGTCCTGCGCTGCACCAATCTGCCGCCGCCGCGGCGCGCGTCTGCCCGCCAGGTGTGGCTGCTCAAGGGCCGCAAGAGCGGGGAGCTGCGGGCGCTGATCATCAACAAGGCGGACGGCAAGCAGTGCGCGGCCAACGTCCAGCTCGACGCGGCGCAGGCGGCCAAGTACGCGACCAAGGGTGAGCTGCAGCGGCGCGCCCACGCCTACCCGGGTCGCACGCCCTCTGGAGGGCTCTGGACGCGTCCGCCCCACAGCCCCACCCCCCTGACCCCGCACCGCACCCCGCTTGCCCCCCTTCCAGGCATGTCCCACTACCTGTGGGCCAAGGCCGGCCTGTCTGACAGCTGGCGGATCTACTACAGCAACACCTTCTTTGACCAGTGGTGCGCCCCCGGGCCCCTCCACCCTGTCCCTCTGGGGGGCCATCTTTGACCACGCGTGCGCCCTGGCCCTGGGGCCTCCTTCCTCTTTCCTGCCCACTCATCACTCCGCCCCCATCGCCCGCCGCCGGTGTGTGTGTGACCTCCGTTGCGTGCGACCTGCCCCGTCTAACGCCCCCTGCCGGCCCCTCTCCGCGCTCCACCCGCTGCAAGCAGAGGCAGCCCGCCCTCCATATCCCGCCCCCCAAACCACGTCACACGCAACATGCGCACCAGCCCCCACACCACGACTCGCTCGCGACCACCCCTTGCCCCGTCCCCATTCACATCAATTATACTTCAATTTATCTACATGCCACAAAACGCCCCTCCGCAACCCCAGGGGCAGCGACCGCAAGGCGCCGGAGGTCTTGGTGCCCATCCAGCGCTACGAGACGAAGGACAAGGCCGGCAAAACCACTGGCGCCGGCTTTGCGGTGCACCTAATGGACGGCACCCTCGCCGCCCTGCTGTCGGTCCCGCTGGCGGCAAAGGCGCCGCCGGCCAAGGGCCTGCGGTGAGGCCGGCGCGCGGCGCTGAGGGCGCCCCCGGCGCGGCTGGGGTATCCGGCCGGCTGGTTGGGGTGCGTCGCCGCATGGGGGTTGCTGCCCGGCAGCTTCCTCGGGGCGGCGGTGGATGGGCATAATGCAGGGTTTGGGGGAGGGGCGGGCGCCGCCGTCCGATGGATCTGAGACCTCTTAACTCTACACTGGCATCAGCGGCTGCACTTTATTATTTTCGATAACAAACTCCAACTTCTTGGGAGCCATTTCGCGCTTTTATCAGCCGCACCGGCCGCAGCTTCGTTCGGCGCCCGGCCCGCTTCGTTCAGAGCCACAGCTGCGTTGGCACCGCTTCATCTGTTGACCTGTGCCGCCCTTTGTTCATGTGTCGGGTTGTGCAGAGTCTGCCTATCTGAGGCCTACAGCCGTCAATTGCCAGGCTGTGGCGCCCCTCTATTCAGTGCCTTGGAGCGTAGGCGGCACCCAGGTCTGTGACCTGGGTCACACCAATCAGCAAGTACAGCTGGCGCATGTGGTGCCGCCTTTCCAGGCCACGGCCGCCCCCATTTTTCGCGGGCTGGCGCTTGCGCACATGGGGACAGGGGATACGCTGCCGCGCAGCGATGCGCGGCGGGCCTCCGCGCTCTGCGGGGCCCCCACAACTGTTGGTGCGGCTTGCGGCTGCACATCTGGGCGGATTTGGGTGATTGCCTTTATGGGACGTCTCGGGCAAACCCGAGGGAGCATACTTCCTTGGAACACGCTTCGCACGCATGCAGCGCTCACCAGACGTACTCCCTCTTGGTGCTTGTATGAGCGGCTATACAGCGGAGGGCGCCCACGGAGCGCTGAGCTGTAACGAGCGACCAGGCCCCGCTGGGCCCGTGCGTGCTCTCCAAGCTCGAGCTGCGGTAGCATTTGGCCAAGGGCGAGGGGTCCAACACCAAGAGCACTTTTCATCTTGATAATAAAAGTTGCCAGGACCCTTGGAAGCGCATCTTGGTGCAGGCAGGACCTGAGAGGCCTGGTGCTACCTCAGCTGTGTGCTGTGCATGCAGGGTTGGGGGGGGGGACTATCAGCAGCTAGGCCGAAAGCCGGTCCGATGCGGTGCCTTCAGAGGCGTAGTTGCGATCGCAGCTGAATTCATTGATGCCAAATCCTGGCAGTCCATTTGAAGCACGGATACATATGTCCAGGCTGATCTGGGCCGTGATCGATCCAGGAGCACGCCCTGCAGTAGAGCTTGCATCATATCCGATATGTCGACCAGCGCGCCGTTGGCATACTCTTTCGCTCACGGGTGGGGTGACGATGTTCTCGTCGTCGAAGGAGAGGCCACCGGCCTGCCTCCGGCCGTCCAGGTGCGGTGAAAGATGTTTCGTATACACACAATTGCTGCCGAGGGCCTGTGGCCGGTCCGTTGCCCGCTGACACCCCCTGCTCCCTGCACCCACGCGCACCTGTGCACAGGGCCCACTACTGCCGCGCCCGGCGGACTCAGCCTTTTTAGACGACATTGCGGCACAGCTGCTGTCATGGGATATCAACCAATGCTTAGGGGACGTTGGCCAGTGCGGTAAGGCGGGGCCCGCTGCCCATCCAAGCCTCGGGCCCGCTTCCTCGGAGCCGCGGTGACGTCACACCTCGCAGCCGCCCGCAGCCCTCGGACCGCGCGCCCCGGCGGACGCCGTGCCGCCCGGCGCCTCGCAGGCCCAGCCCCTTGTCATCCCGCCATGCCATCCCCAAGCCACCTGATGTCGCAGCACCCTCACCCCTTCCCTCCCCCTCCCGCCTACCGGACCTGGCCTCGCATCT